GTTGCCGGGCCACCAACGTCTGCAACCACCCAGTGACAGGACTTGTTCTGAAGACAGTGGAATTAACTGTTGCTGGGATAGGCTGGCTGGAAAAAAGCTTTTTCTCCCGGTCTGTGGTTCTCCCGCACTGGCTGCTGACAGCAGTACAGAGAGGCAAAGGCAGCCTGCAGTCAGTCACAACGTTGCTGTGGCTGACTGGAGTAGCGGGTGTCTTTTGCACTGGTGAGGAGAGAAATAAGGGGAAGGCTCTAGAGCAGAGCAGCCACATTGTGCCAGTTTTGAATTTTGCAAATCACTTGTGTATGTTCTAGTTCCAGTCCCATGCAAGTGTTTCTGAGGGTTTGCTGCTGATGCCTGTCGCCAGCTCCAGTTTTAGCTGTCAGTTGTCCATCTTCAGTCGGCGCAGACAAGGACAGCGGCAATGTACAGGCACGGGCTTGAAGGCCTAGAACCCACCTGCATAAGATAATCTAAATCTGTTTTGCTATTTCTGCCACCTTTGCTTGGTAGGAGTCTTTCTCCTAACAGTTCTCCAGCCCCATCATAACTGATGATTTGGTGCCAGACTCCTGGAGATTTTAGACATCTCCTTCTGCATGGGGTGGTTAACACACCCAGCTTTACACTGCTGTGTCCAGAGGGGCTTGGGATGGGCGTGCAGGGGCAATGCATGGGCAGCCAAAGGGCAGGAACATTGCTGAATCCTTAATAGCTTTGTAATGTTTTCTCAGCTGCTTTGGCAAGTTTTGCGATTGTTACAGCTGGTTATACCCTGGCATCGCATGATGCTTCTGCTTTTGTGTTGCTTGTAGTTTCCTTTCCACCTTCTCACTGTGCTTGTCATGAGTGGATAACAGGGCACCTTGAAGACAAACTTGGTAACCATAAACTACTCTGGGTGATTAAAGAAGAAAACCAAGAATCTTAGGTTTCTTGATTGTGTTATTCTTTGAAAGGTGGTTTATGCTAAAATTGAAATGGATATATTATATACTGTATTAAATTAGCAAGTTGTGATTCAAAGAGGAAAACAAGGCATCAAAGACACCGGCTAGAATTTAAACCAGCTTTTGTGACAATGCATCAATTTTCACTGTTGGTATTTTATCATATTATCTTGAGGACACATATCAGAAAGTGAATGGTTTGATAATAGTGTATTAGATCTGCTTTTTGTGACTACTTTAAAGATTTGCACATTTCTTAAGTTGTACTTTATACTTTGTTTACAATAAACCAATTTTCTTTAATATTGACTTTTTTTTAAATTCATAGTGGAACTTACGCATTTGCAAGGAAAAATAACCTCAAAATAAAATTGTCCTGACCAATGGAACAGTATCTCTTCATTTTTAATATTTTTAAAGCACTAAAGCCCACAGGAATGGAATTGCAAGTCTGTGGTTACTACTCTGCATCTCTGTTTTGGGTTTTTTGTCCCAGCTTTTCATCCCCCAGCTTTTCTTCAGCACCCAAAACTAATCATGCGTGTGTGAGCCGTTATGACTCTGGTGAAAAGTATTTCCTTTATGTTGGTGATTGCACTGCCTTCCCCAGGAAGGAACCTGGTCATGTTCCTGATGGCCCGGCTGTGGGGCAGAGGTGGTGGCTGCTCCCCCAGTGAGGGATTGGGTCCCTTGTGGCCCTCCCCAGGGCCAGCGGGCGTGTGGTGCTGGCCCTGAGATCGCTCCAGGCTGGGGGTTTGCCTGCCCTATTAAAGGTGTTGCTGCAGGAGTTCCCTGCCAGGAGGAGAGCAGGGAACCGGGGTTCTCTCCTCTCAGGGCAGAGGGAGGCTGGGCAGTCTGGCTTCTCTCTGCTGCCCCTGCGTGCCAGCTGTGGCCATTGGCACTGCTCGTGTGGGCTCTTCTGTATCCTGCTCAGATCCCCACATACAGGGATCCCCAAATTTCACAATCACACGGATGCTGTCTCAGTGCCCTTCCCTGCTGTGGGTTTGGGGCAGAGGCACTCCTTACCCTATCCTGTGTGACACAGGGCCCTGCGTAGGGAGCATCTGAGTCATTGCCCTTCTTGTTCCAGGTGGGATATGCCATCATAGCCCAATGCAAAAGAGAGGCTCCTTCCCCAGAAATGTGAGATGTGAGTCCCATTCCCCCATCTTGCTTCATGGTATTTCTCATTTCGTGGCCATGAGATAAAATATTTTAGCAGCTCTGGGTCTGAGACCTTTCCACATTTGCACGTAGCCAGTGGATTGGAATGAGGTCCCCTCCCCAGCTGTGCCTGACACGCTGATCCTTGAAAGCCATTTTCTGCTGCAGCCCTGCAGAAGGAGAGCATAAAGAACGTGCCACCTCCCCACTGGTATTCTGCCCGTGCAATGGCCCTGTCCCTCTCCTCAGCAGTGCATGCAGTGGGCTTTGAAGCCCTTCTCTCTAAGCATGGAGCTGAACTTAAATCTGACTTTCCAGGCAAGCACTCTCATGCTGCTGTGCAATAAGAGAGGAAGAAAGTGCGTTTCCATGCTGTGATCTTGGTGCCTGTGTTTTCTGAAGTAAAAGCAGCTGCTGGTGCTTTTTGAGTAGCAATGCATTCTGGAGGTATGCAGGGACTGTGCCCTGGGACCACCCACTGGCTGCACTACTGGGACGCTGCCGTTTCTGGCGTGCTGTGAGCTAAATAAAATACAGCTTCTCCCTCTACATACAGAACTTACCAGCAAGAAGTGCACTTCTGGCTGCTTCTAGCTGAAGACAGAGTCATAGTTGTGAATTTACCTCATGGCATTTTTAAAGCTTAACCGTGAAAGCCAGCTGGAAATTACATCAGCTATTTTGGGGTTTAATCCAAGGCTAACTTGAAAAATGTAGTTGAAAGGGCATTATTAGACACCTTTTCAATGCTAACTTTATTGTGCAATCAAATTTGGCTGCATAGTAGGAAGATTGATTTTTATGAATTTTCTACACATCGCTGTAAATAATTAGAACCTCCTTATTCCTGTATGTAAAACAAAGGCACACCTCATATTTTTTTTCCTGTTTGGGTTCAACGATGAAGCCAAACAGAAATGCAAACCAAGACGCTCTCAGAAACACCCACAATTAGTAGTTGGATGCCAACACTGGCTGGCGCTGGCTGTGGCAGGGCTTGCCAGGGTGGCCACAGCTGTCATTTGCTGTGCAGACACCAGGTTCTGGGGAGTTAATCCAAAGGGATCCAAGATAGAAGTCTTGGAAGTATCTGTAAACCCTTCAGCTTGGTGCTTAGCACTGCACTCTGAAGTGATGCACACACATAAAAGTTGATGCTGCAGTGCTGACATGGATTACAGGAGCTAGAGTGAGACACACTCCATGTCTCAGCTTGCAGTAGGGAAGATTAGTGGGGGCATCACAACAAATTGTCCTGGGAAAGGATGGAGCTAGCCCCTGTGTCCAAAGCAGAGCAATACAACCCCACTCTCGGAGTGCCTCCCCTGCTGAGTGTGCCTCCCCGAGGCTGCCTGCCTGCCCCTAGCACAGGCAGCTCACTCCGGCCATAGGACAGCATCAGCAGGACAGGTTAGAGGGCTTGAGGTCTGCTTGTCCCACCCAAACGGATCAGCAGTAGGGAACTGCAGTGCCAGGGTACCCTGCATATGTCCTGAGCACTCTGTGTGTGTTCAGGGATTTTAATCTCCAGAGAGGATGGAGAGAAGGCTGGAAAAAGCAAGCATTTTTCCTTGTGGTTTGGAAAATAATTATTTCCATTACAACAGGAGTAGTTGTGGGAAACTTAGATGCTCATTGAGTGAACTAGTATGTATTTTAAAAGAAGAAGGGTCCTGAACTGGGTCAGCTTGTCTGGACCCCCAGATGCCGCTCAGACAAGAATAAGGGCAGCCTGTCTACCCATCCTTCCTGGTCAGTGTGGCTTTCTGGGGTTTTTCCTCCTGAGCTTTACCATTCAGCAGCACTATTTCAAGCCACCTTTAACCAACCAGTCCTGTCATCCTGGCACAGGGTGACTTCAGTCTCTGTGCCAGGGTGGGTGGCACAGTGCAGATGTGGCTTATGCCCAAAGAGCTGAGAGGCAGGACTTTATCACAGCTGGCCTGAGACTTGAGTGCCACATGCAGCGACATCAGGTATTCCCTTGGCAGTTCCCCACTTTTACTGTAAATGGATGATTCATTTGTCTGCTTTGGCAACAAACTTGGATAACCAGGGAAACAATCTGTTAGAAAAGCTGGAGCACAAAATCAGGTCAAGAGAAATGATGAATGAATATGTGCATTATGGGCTCAAGCTTTTAGTTCTGTATCACATATTTTCTGCAGGAAACTTTGCTTCTCCTGGAACATGTGATCAGGGAGTGTAATATTCAGAATATAGAATAGAACAATTGGGTTTGGGTCTTATGATGTAATTTAACATGTCACACAGAGCTTCCATGTGTAGGAATATGAGGTTCTAGAATGCTTTCTGTTGTGACCAAAAGAAAATGTGATACTTTGGCAGTAAGAGAACAAGAGCAAAACACATCTTCAGCTATCTTGTTATATTAATGAGAAGACAGGAGATAAACTTGCTAACCCACTTCCTGTGATGTGATATAAATCAGGCAATCATCATATAAAATGCATTAAATAATTCAAAAGCTTTTTTAGGATAACACAGTTTTGATGAAACTTCATACTTGATTGTGTAGTCTACTCTGAAAGTTATAGTTGTCTGAGGAAAAAAAAATCTGCTGTTACAATGACTTCATTTCAGCTACTCAGAAGGTTTTGGTAGATGTCAAGGTACTTGCATGGCAACAACCTCCAAAAAAAAAAAAAAAGGACACAGCTGTGGTGGGGACTGCTCCTGCACTAACAGCTGTGGAGAGGCACAAGCACACAATATTCCCCAGCGTTTCAGCAAAACTTAAGTGGTTTTGAATAACTAGGATATACAGTCTCCTCTCTGCCCACCTCTTCTCCTGACTGCTTCCAACACATGCAAGAGGATCTGACATTTGTCAAGTCTACTTTAAAAAAAAAAACAACAAAACTCTTTGCAAACTTTTCGTTATTGTAATCTGGGCTGAATTCCATACAATTGTCTTTGTTTAATGCTGAAGGCTGAAGATCTTCTCAGGGATAGCCAGGAAACTGGCATGGGGTACTTATTGTGAGCAACAACCTCAGCCAGTAAAACCCTTCTGCTTGGGAAACAGAGCCTTTAATGTTTAATTGCCTGGCAGTCACTTGGAAAGAGCAACCCTCACCTCCCCTAAATCAAAAGAGAGAGTATTGCATGCAACCTGACTGGAATTAAAGAAAAACAGGATACAGAGAGTACCTTAATGGCCTAAAATACAGGGTTATCAAAACCTTAATGAAACTCCCATCTAGCAGACAATAAAGCAAGTCCCTTGATCACCTGTCAGCTGTGATGTAACATTGCCAGTCGCTGCACAGCAGAGGAGCAGCTACTAAATAAAAAGGCATTTAGGAGCCACAGCATAACAAGAGGACAGAGCAGCCATCTTCAAACAAGCTGTGCAATCAGCTCAATGAAGACAGAACTCTTGATCAGCTGTAATCAGTATTCCTCAGGTAATCCTGACTGAGGCAGTAGGGGCTGCAAGTGCAGAAGTGAGGGCTAGGAAAACCAAAGGGATTGCCCTGTTTGCAGCTGAGTGTGTTGTGCTGCTGCTGCCATCTGGTTGCTATGCAGGTTTAAGGAGCAGTTGCCTCTAATGCTCTTGGTTGAGCATAAGTGGTTTTACTTTCTTTTCTTATCCCCATCCTTACCTGCCCTCACAGCGCCATGCAGGTGCTCTGAGATGTCAGGATTCCTCCTTCCTGGAGATGAGGGTGCCTACCTGCAAGTGGCTGCATGCTGTGTTAGGAAGAGGGGCTCCCCCTATCCTTGGGCTGTGGGGCACCTTGCCAGGAACTCCCACCACAGGGATTAGGTTTCTCACTGGTACCACATTCCTTCCACCTGCAGGTGACAGTCACCCTGTCACCTCACCTTCTGGCATCACTCTGCTCTTGGTTCTTCACCAGCTTCTGCAGCCCAGAGCAGAGCCTGGGGAATGGGAAACCAGAAGCAGCCCTGTGGTACTGCAGCCTTTGCTGGGGCTACTGGAGCAGCTGGAACCTCTCATTGATGCTGCTGGCTGCATCCCCTCACTGGCCCTGACTCATGGGCTTACCTTCCCTTCCAGCACCCACCAAACCCCCAGCCTGGCTTGGCAGCAGTCCAAAACTGGGACTCACACCTCCATGTGCTTCTGCTAGGAACCATGCTGGAAAAGTCATGCAATTTTTTTAAAATAAATGGACAACTGTGGCATCCCTGTGAAATTCTCAATGCAGTACATGAGTCAAAAAATACCGGTCATTGAACTAAGGAGGAGAAAGAAATTGTTATCGTCTGGAAATACCCAGAGGGAATCCAGGCAGGCAGAAAGGAGGATCACGTACAGACTGGCTGGCCTGGATAGCATTGCTCTGCCTCTCACTGATTCATCTTAGCATGAACCTCCCAGCCATGGGACAGCAGGAATTATTTCAGTTTCAGCATGAAGTGGTCAGTTGTTAATCTGCAGCTGGGGGGACTTTTTTTTTTTTTTTTTTAATTTAAGCAAGAGATGCTTAAACGCCCTTTTCAATGTCCTATTTAAGTGAAGCAACAAGTATGATGAGTCGATGATGAGTCACCAGGCCAGGAAAAAAGCTGTAGGAAAGCTGGACTATTTATAAAATGTAAAAGAAAGAAAGGAAATATAGTACCCCCGTGTGTCACTGCCCGGTACCCCCGTGTGTCACTGCCCGGTACCCCCGTGTGTCCCCTCCCGGTACCCCCGTGTGTCCCCGCCCGGTACCCCCGCGTGTCACTGCCCGGTACCCCCGTGAGTCCCCGCCCGGTACCCCCGTGTGTCCCCTCCCGGTACCCCCGTGTGTCCCCGCCCGGTACCCCCGCGTGTCACTGCCCGGTACCCCCGTGAGTCCCCGCCCGGTACCCCCGTGAGTCCCCTCCCGGTACCCCCGTGTGTCAGTGCCCGCTACCCCCGTGAGTCCCCGCCCGGTACCCCCGTGTGTCCCCGCCCGGTACCCCCGTGAGTCCCCGCCCGGTACCCCCGTGTGTCACCGCCCGGTACCCCCGTGTGTCACAGCCCGGTACCCCGTGTGGCCCCGCCCGGTACCCCCGTGTGTCACCGCCCGGTACCCCCGTGTGTCACTGCCCCGGTACCCCCGTGTGTCACTGCTCCGGTACAACCGTGTGTCAGTGCCCGGTACCCCCGTGTGTCACCGCCGCGGCCGCGCAGGCGCCGCGCTCCGCTGGAGCAAGGAAGGAGGAGGAGGCTGAAGTGATTCCTCCTCCTCCTTTTCCTCCTCGTCTTCCTCCTCCTCGTCCTCCGCCGACACGCAGCGGGTCCCTGGGGCTCGGCTCCTCCGCTCGCAGCACCGTACCGCAGCGAGGGATGCGGAGCTGCCGCGGGAAGAAAACACGACCAAAAGAGCTCTTTGGCAGTAATTGTGCCGTGTTGGCATGGCTGGCAAGGGCATTAGTGCGTGTGCGAGCCGGCCTGGGGGATCCCACGGACGGGAGACACCGCTGCCTGACAGGAGGCTGGGCAGAGGAAGGCAAAAGGAGCTTCACCTCCGGCAAGCACCGCCCGAGCTGACGCCAAGGGCACAAGCAACATGGCACGGCCTCCTGGCAGAGCAGATATTTGTGTATAATACACATATTCCTTGGCGTTTTGTCTGGGTAGTTGTAGCTGCTCTGGAATACAGCTGGGCATGGTTGGAGGGAAGGACCCATTGCCGGGAGGCAAAGATCATCTGAGAGCTTGAAAGTCCCACTTGCAGAACAAGATCAGTACCTGTGGGAAGGGGTTGGGCTGCATGAATACCTCATGCTTTGGGTGCAGAGGGGTCCTCAGCACGGCTCGGTCTGGTGGCTGACACAGCTTTGTCCTCACACCCCTGCCCTACACTCACACCATCCCTACTTCTGGCACTGTGTCAAAATCCAAAAGCCTGTCACAAAACCATGTCATGGCACGGTCAAACAGGTGCTTAAACAGGACAGGGGGACTAGAAGGTGATGAGCTTTCTTTATCACTTTAGACACGGATTATGTGCTGGTGGCTTGACCCAGTATTCGCAGTTCTGATCCAAGACATGACTTAGTGCTAATGTTCAGCACGTCCCAGTTTGTGGGACACCTGCCCACCTAATGAGATTAATATCTTTAGGAGTTTATTTAGGCTCTAGTTCCATAAAGCACTGGAGCTGGGGAAGAAGGAGGACAGATCCTGAGTGTTTAGGTGACAGTGTCTCTTGACTGAGTGTACTCAAGGTGAAAATGTGGTCAGTACTATTTGCACACCACCTCAGGCTTTGAATGGGCAGCAGCAGTACGGTGAGTAGTGTGAGATGTGTGGCAGCTCCTCACCTAGTGCATCTTTAAAGAAACCACCCAGATCAGCGTGTTTCTAAAGGGAAATCAAAGTGATGCTTTATTGGGGAAAGTTAGTTTTGTTAAGAAAACAAAAAAAAAAACAAAACAAAACAAAAAAAAAAACAACAAAACACCAAAAAAATATAGTTAAGAAAGTTGTCTGCCTTTGTTAGCCACAGCTTTTAAGGAACAAAAAGAGGAACCTAATTTACTTGCAGTATGTACTTACAGTATTTTCAGTGTTAGTAGGCAGCAAGAAAAAACAAAGAAATGTGTTCCTGTGAGGCTATTTCAGTGCCTTTTACTACCACCATCAATAGAAGCTTTGCAACAAAGGATTAACAGATTTAATTTTTCAGTGCTGCTTCTGGGGAGGAGGAGAATTCCTCAGCAGTATGACAGTGCTGTCTTGGGTTCATCACGTCGTGTCCAAAAACCACAGACCCTGCCTCCTGAAAGAACTTCAGCCTATGTTGAAGACCATTTCGACACTAAAGCAAACTTTTAATTGACCTGAAATATGTTGTTTTCTTAAATCACTTCAATAAAAATTATTTTTTATTACTTACTCCCACAGTAAGGAACTGATATGCCTTGTTTCTGCATGTTGCTAATGTTGGTTGGCTCAAATAGGCTGCAAATAAACAATTTCTTTTGCTTGCATTGTTACATCATGCAGTCTGTGTTGGCTTGGAGCTCTTGGGAAGGCACTGCCTTACTGCACAGAGGCTCAGCAGGGCTTGTAGCATCTGTCAGCTTCAAAGCAGGTTTTAGATGTTACAATAGCTGCTGCTTCAGTTTAGTGCCAGGTGGGACAGCCTGAGGTGTCTGCAGGCTGGAGACACCTCTCAGTGTCAGCATTTGGGTGTCTGTATCTGGTTCTGGGTGACTTTCTCCTGGACTCTCACCTTCCTGTCTGGAGCTCAGAGCCTTTGGTAGTTACTCTGTGAAAACTTTGCTCCTTGTCTTCCTGCACCTGCTCTGGCTGTGCTGTGTTGGGCAGGAGCCAGCAGGGCCAAGCATCACTCGGGCTCAAGGGCCAAGGGTGCTTTTCCTTTCCCTTCTTTTTCCTCTGCTGGGTGTTGATTGACTGGGGAAAGGGAGGTGCACTTTGCCCTCCCCATTGTGAGCCTCTGCGTTAGTACAGATGGTATTGGTACCTCAGATGTGGCTTGGGGAGGAGGAGAAAAGCAGGCAGGAAGAGCAGAGGTTTGGGGCCACCCCCGCAGCAGGAACCACAGCTGGGGCCTCGCCACTGCTGAGTGTAATTAATTAATTAATGCCCGTGTAACAGGAGCGCTTTGCAACCCTGAGTTCTGATTGCAGCGTCATTTCAGGGCCGCGCTTGACATCACAAGACTCTCTCTAAGTGTCACCAAAGTCAAATAAATTGTTGCTGTTAATTAACCCTTTTGCCTTTTGGCCTGTTTTTTTCCCCTGGTACTTTTTGTTTTCATGCTGATGTCGTTCTTTCTGTTTTCCTTGCTGTTGCCTGCTTTTTTCTCTCTTTAATGTATATTGAGTAAATTTAATTTCCTATCCTCTCCACAGCTGATTTGCCACCATTGTAATTTGTCCTCAGCTTTGTGGGTGCACAAGTGGAAGTGGGATGTTTTGATATGCTGGGATGGATTTTAAAGTTTTGACAAACACTGATATTTCCCATGGCAACAAGCTCCATATGATACTCAGTACAAACCTCGCTCTTGCAGAAACAAATGCAGTTCTGCAGTGTCAACTGCTTTCTGTTTAATTGCAGATGAGATATGAAATGGGGTTCTGTGGCTCAGGTAGGATGGGGGAAGCCCCAGGGATATGCTGGATACAAGAAAATTAACTACACAAATATACTGGATGTGACTTGAAACTCTGCAAAAGGAAGAGTCTTTGGCTTTTGCTAGGTCAGTATTGGTGCAAAAACTCTTCCGAAAGTCCCTCTTGCTCTGGCACCCTTCTGGGTCCCCCAGACAGCAGGCACTGCTGCCCCAAAGCACGTGCCAGAGTGTTACAGATCCAGGCACTTGCTGCCTGGCATGTTGACATGTTGTACTGACCACTCGTCTGACAAGGCATTTCCAGGGCAGCCCAGGATGTGCCAGCTGGGCTTACCCAGCTGCTGCCTGCCTCTCTGGCCTCGCTTTGCCTCCTGGCTGGCCAGGCTTGGGAATTCCACTATGCCATGCTTTTTCTTTTGCATCCAATTTCTAAGGACATCTAGGAAAACCCTCCTGATCCTGAGGCCACAAGAAGAAAATAAAATTCGTGGTGGAGTTCCTTTAAGCTCTCCCTCTTTGTACTCCCAGCATATCAGAGCCAGGACTGAACTACCTTGTGTTTCAGAGAGAAACATACAGAAGTGTGTGTGCACCCACTTTTTTTTTTTTCCTAAGACTGTCCAAAATTGTTTATTCCTGACATTGTATTCTGAGCCAGCACTTGCACAGCTGCTTGCTGAGAGGTTCCTGAAAGGTACAGCTTTCCTACATGACAGTGTAGGACACATCATGTGTCTTCTAAGGCCTCATAAACCTGCCTGAGCAGGGGGAGCATGGCACAGGGACTGCCAAGGCTTGAGCAACAGGGGAGGCCCAGTCCATCCCCATCCCCAGCCGCAGCCCAGCCCATCCCCAGCCCAGCCCAGTCCATCCCCAGCCCAGCCCAGCCCCAGCCCAGCCCAGCCCAGCCCAGCCCAGCCCCAGCCCAGCCCAGCCCAGCCGTGCAGCAAGTGGAGCTGCAGGAGGAGGAGGTCACAGGGAGCTGCTGGGGGTTCTGGGGCTCTGCTTGTGGTACAGGAGATTTGCTGCCCCAAACCTGTGGAAGACTGAAGAGTGAGAGGTTGGGGTGGGAATTGCAATGGGTAGGGCAGAGTGTCTCCTGCCATGCTGGTAGTTTGGAATTGTGGCTCATGGGGTTCAAAAATATGCTACCCTAGGACTATGCAAAGCGTAAAAATGGTAAAAATTTAGTTGTAGCTCAGCTTCCCTCTCTAACTAGGGCATATTTTTTGGGCTTCCCAAAAAAAAAAAAAAAAAAAAAGCCCAAGTTATGTTTTCCTTTTGCTGTTTTCTTCCCATTCTTAAGTGCAGTGTGTTGGCATTGCTCACACATTCCTCCCGTTGAGTCAGAGCCGTGGGGAGGGAGCAGCGAGGGCCAGGACAGGGCGAGGGCTGCAGGATCTCCAGGATCTCCAGCCTGGCAGCCCCGAGCTCCAGCTGCCCTGTCCATGTCCAGCAGAGGCCAAGGCCAGTGCCACTGCAGGGTGGCAGTTCAGTGCCACCCATCCCTGCTCCTGCCTGTCACACACTCGGGAATGACTCGGGAGCAATCATTACGGGCTGTTTTTATTGTAGCTGTTCTTCCTTTCTCCGCTTTCAGAGTTTTGAAATCAAGGGCGTG